CGACATTGCGTATTCTCGGAGCAACGATCTCACCGATAGACACGCGGCGGATAAGATACTCGCCGATAAAGCCCTAGGACGCGTCATTGCGAGAGATTCGAATTTGGGCGAAAAAGCTGCCGCTACAGCTGTTTGGGCAGCGATGAAAGCCAAGACCAAGATCGGCATGAGTATGAAACGCAAGGAAAAAGACCAACAAAAAAAAACGAATACTTCCAACGGCAAACGAGGCGGCATATTACCGATTCTGCCAATGTTGGGCGCGCTCGGTTCCATGATTGGCGGAGCGGCCAGCGTGGCGAAAGCGGTAAACGACAAGAAAGCCATACAACGTCAGCTCGAGGAACTACAACGTCACAATCGCGCAATGGAAACGCGCGGACAGGGATTGTATCTCGCTCCGTACAAATACGGACGGGGATTATATCTCGCTCCGTACAAAGGCGGACGAGGTGTAACAGCGAAAAAAGAAAAAAGAAAAAAAAACGTCAAAGAGACAATAAAAATACCTACGGATGTAACTACCAACGTACAATTGGACCAGCTGGCGAAGCGTATGCGCGTACCATACTTAGAGGCCATAGAAGCGTTTTCATGCGTGACGCATTATCGATTAGCGGCGCGCGTCGAAAAGAGAGCGGTATCGTAAATCTGGATAATACGATGGGTCCCGGCACTCATTGGGTAGCATACGCAAAGAGAAACGATCGTGTTATATATTTCGACAGTTTCGGTAATCTTCGACCGCCGAAGGAACTGGTACGATATTTCGGAAACAATGTTATGATAGAGTACAATCGAACGTCCTATCAGACGTATGATCAGAGCGTCTGCGGACAGCTGTGTTTGTGGTTTCTCCAAACGGTCGACGCGCATGAATTTATAAAGTCTGACAAAATGCCGCGACGTTTCAGTATTTATTGAACGCTTTTCCATTATGTCGCTGACGCTTACGTTAAGCGGGAAGAGCAGCGTTCTCACGGCAAACTACTTTCCAGCCATAGATTTGAACGACGATGACTACGAGCTTGGTCTAACAATTTTGGAGACTTATCACACGATACCGAATGTAAACATTTCGAACAACAAATTTTATTTTGACAAAGACGACGCAGAAATTACGATTCCCGAGGGGTCGTACGAACTGCAAGCCATAAATGAATTTTTGAAACGTGAGATTTTACGAAAACATCCGCAACGTGACACATCCGATGGTAACGCCGATGACACCGCGCGCGGCGATGATGACATTGGTGAATACCCGATAGTGCTCCGCGCAAATTACAACACGATGAGATGTGAGATTAAATGTGATTACAGAATAAACTTTAACAAGCCCAATAACATTGGATCGCTGCTTGGTTTCTCGTCAAAGCGTATATTGCAACCGCGAAAGTGGTATAAATCGGACATGTCAATCAACATAATAAATATAAACATTATCCGTATAGAGTGCAACGTGACCGCGGGCGCGTATAGCAACGACAAAAGTGTGCACACGATACATGAATTTTCGCCGAGCGTGCCACCAGGATATAAGATATCGGAAAGGCCGATGCAAATCATTTACTTGCCAGTCATCATACGGAGCATTACGGAGCTAACGATACGCATTGTTGACCAGAACGGACGATTGCTCGATTTCAGAGGAGAAGAGATTACTATCAGATTGCACGTACGACGGCGACGGCGATAACGCGAGCGCGACATTTGAGATGCTCGTGTTGAACGAAGCGAAGCACGCTCAGAGAGATAACGCATCTTTTATAAAGAAAACACCAATCGACAATACTCGCTCATCCGGTTGCATCAAAAAGAGAAAGAAACTCAACGCATCGAACGTTAAATTTTTACAAGCTTTAGGATTCGCGGTACGCAACTTGTGAGATGACTGACATCCTAAACATCGAAGACGAGCCAATCTTCGATGATCGCATCTTCAAGATTGAAACTCATACGTATAACCGTTCGCCAATACAACGTTTGGATACAGTGATGAGATAAGAATACCCATACAGCAACAGGATCTGTACACATTGCCGTACGAAAGCTTTCTATATATCGAGGGAAAATTAACGAAGAAAAATGTTGTCGACGGATCTGATGTGATGTTGGGAAATAATTTTGTGGCGTTCATGTTCGATGAGATTCGATACGAACTCGATGGCGTGGAGATTGATCGTAACAGAAACGTGGGCATAACTAGCGCGCTCAAATACTACGTAACGACGTCATCCGAGAGAAGCGTGATTCTGAGAAATTCTGGCTGGGATGCGCGTACCAACGCGGATGGATATTTTAACTTTTGCGTACCTCTCTACTGTTGGGATTCTGCGAGGATTACAGACGCGTGGTAATCAACGCTCGTCACGAGTTGATCTTAATACGATCGCGCAACGACAACAATTGCCTGATGGGAAATTCGGCATTGGATCCCGTGATCGACTTATTCAAGATACAATGGCGAATGCCGCACGTGTTATTGAACGAGATAACAAAACTATCGATGCTGCGCACTTTGGAAAGCGGACGATACTTGAGCATGGCTTTTCGCTCGTGGGATCTGTACGAATTTCCGCTGTTACAGCGTACAACCAAGCATTCGTGGGCCCTCAAGACCGCTACTCAGCTGGAGAAGCCGCGATATGTCATCTTCGCTTTGCAAACAGGCCGAAAGAACATCATGGCCGAGGACACGAGCCGATTCGACGACTGCAACTTGACCAACGTGAAACTCTATCTGAACTCAGAATGTTATCCGTACGATGATATGAATCTGGATTTCGAAAAAAAACAGATGGTCTATGTTGTACGAAACATACGCGCGTTTCTGCAAAAATTACTACGGATACGAGTATCTCGAGCCAAGTCTTACCCTCACGTCTTTTCTACGTTACGGTCCATTCGTAATCATCGATTGTTCTCGACAAAACGAATCAGTCAAGAGCGCAACCGTGGATGTGAGATTGGAATTTGAGACTAAGGAGAACGTACCGATGAATACCACCGCGTACTGTCTCATTATACACGATCGCGTGGTTCAGTACAACCCGTTGACTAATGTTGTACGCAAGATCACTTAAGAGCATCGCTGGTATGTGAGAGACAATAAAATCTATACATCGAAATCGATCGCAGTCTTCTTCTCGACAGTCATGTCTGTGCCAACGTTCGTAGACCTGCAAGGTTTCCTCGTTGAAGGACAGTTTGTCGTAAAAGAGTTTGCTGCTCTCAAAGAACGGACCGTTCTTTCTCATTACATTTTCGCAAGCCCTATACCGTGGCATTTCCTGGCAAGTGCCGACAAATCTCGCGCACGCTGGGTGATACGTCATCATCATAGACTGCAATGGAACGACGGAACGATTCCGTACAGCGAAGCTAAAAGTTTGATTACGAAAGCTGTGCATGGTACGAAAGAAGATAACGACGACGATGACGGCGATGATGCTGTCATATATGTCAAGGGACACGAAAAACGAAAATGGTTGCGGAATTTGCTTTTGGACGATGAGCGAGAGCGCATGTACATCGAGACCCTGGATGCGGATTACGAAGACATAGATTCTTTAAATAATCTAAATGCTGATAATTCTATACGATGTGGATATCATTATACCAATTGCGCGTTACAAAATGTATTTAAATTGTTTAATTGGTGGGCAGATAATCTTAAATAAACATATATAACATATAATATATTTTCTTTTATTTCTTTTCCCCGCTATTCATATACATCGATGATTACTTAATATTCCAACGATCCTATACATTTTTTTTTTCAATGTAACGTTCGATCGATGATAAAGAAATTGCGTTATGATTGAAGCGTGAACTTTTTATTCACATTTTTCTTTTTTTCTCTTTACATATTTTTTATAGCTGATTAGGTTTTTTCTTGAAATAAAAATTTTATAATTAATTGATAATGACGCAATCTTTTTTTCTTTTAATTTATAATAGTTTATAATAAAACAGTTTATAACAATTTATAATAAAACACTATAACAGTAAACTCGTTCTCGATTTGCAATTGTACGATTCTTTTTCTTTTTCTTGGCCACTAACATGCCTATTCACGAAATACTATCATAATAGAGTATTGTCGTTCAGCGAGGTCATTGGATTTTTTGTCCACTCCATCTTTCAAATGAGAGGAAGGGGGGATTTAACACGCTCTGACGTGTCAAAATTTACGCGGGTGCGATCAGTCCTCCGTCATTCGTTTGTACAAACGAACCACACACAATGTACTCCGCCAAAGGAAGCAGTGCACTGTACGATGGTGAAACGAAGAAGGAACGTAACGTCGTAATTTCGTACTATTTCTTTTTTCTTTTTGTCTAACATTACGCATATTATGTACTTAATTGCTGTTACACAGCATTCGATGGAGCCTCGCGCGGTGCGCTTGATGAGCAGACGTTACAACCTGACGGCTACGGGCTTCAAGTTTCTGGAAATTGGAATTAATGTTGGTCCACCGAGCTACGTAGAGATCGCCCTAGGAGATCATCGAGGACAAGAGCTGATATTGTCTCTCGAAACATGGAAAGGACTCCATGAGCAGCAATGGAATATCTACAAATTGCTACGAAACAATTACAAAGACAATTTTATAAGCGTCGGACCGTTAACAGTCCGAGTTTGTATGATGAACAACGTTACACTCGTACGTCTTGAATCTTCAAACGTACGCATTATGATGATCGAATCGATGCTACGCCGTATGTTTAATCTCGCTGAATGTATTGATATAACGTTCACTCAACTAGACAGACTCGTTGAAACGATCGATGAAAAGTATACGCGATTCTCCAACATTGCGTCTATTATAACAAATCCCGAGGAGATACCATACGCGATAGCGATATCTTCGATAGGCATCAACTCGTCGATTGCGAATTGTTAGTTTTAGTTTTTAGTATGTATGAAAAAAAGACGATATAACAAAAATGTGAATAAAAACACGTCGCGTTTCACGTTTAAAAATATGATTTTAATCAAAACAAATTTCCCTATTTCCCATCTTAAAATAAAATAAAATAATATTTCAGTTATAATAAGATATTATTTATTGGTATAATCAATAAAAACATCAATAAAAAAGGGTAATATCTTTTTTTATTGAATTCATTTCATTTTTCTATAATTCACTTTTTTTGTAGTTTCCCATTTTCTGTCGCCATCAAAATTTATTGTTTCCTACGTGAGAACTTGATCAAATAGAAATGAGCACATTCAGTATTTATTACTAAAAAAAAACAAGAAAAAAATTAAGGAAAAGTGTCCATTTACCGACTAATACATTATTTTCATTGAATAACGGATTTTTCGAGATTGTTCGAAATGAACATGTTGCGATACGTACATTTATTGCAGCCGGAATAACAGCGTTTTTTTTCCTATGTCAATTTCTACAAAAAAATATCTTTTCTAGCAGCTCTTTCTAGACAAAAAAGACCCCTTCCTCCCTTCCCTCTCAAAAGTACATTCCAAAGGATCATCGACAAAGCATTCCCCCTTCCCCGTGTCTACCAGTTACCTCCTCTCCTTTACCCCCGCGTCCCCGAGTTACCCCGCACACCCGCACCCCGCTCCTGGGTTAGAACCGGCCTAGTATCACTACTTACAGTTATTTAATTAATACAGTTCTTAAGATTATATTTTAATACTTATATAATAATACTTTATATAAACATTTTAAATATTATGTTTAATAACCATTATTTCTTAGTACACATAGATTTTAAGTTTATATTATAATTACATTTTTAATAAAGAAAAAGATTTAATTTTATATTATTATAAAACTAGTTGGAAAGAAGAAGATAGATACTTAATAAAATATCTTTTTTTTTAAATTTATTTCATTTAAGGTACTTAAATATGATACTATTTGCAAATACTTTGACTTATAATCTAAAGAAATATTATCTAATATATTAACTATAACTAATTTATTTAATTTATTTAATTTACTTCACTGAGTTCTGAATTGAACAGTTAAATTGGAATTGTTTTCTTCATCATAAGCAACAACTGCAATGTTTAAGTCATCTATTCCAAAAGCATCAATAATTTTATTGTACAAATCATAATGAATGATAACGAAAAAGATACGCTAAACATGAGCGCATTTTTTTCGTTATCATTCATTAATGCCAGTGCATTTTTTGAAGAATTATTGATACAACTACTAAAATAAATTTAAGTAAATTATATGTATTGATTATTTTATTGCTGGCTACAAAGCGCTTTATTTTATATTTGTAAAATAACTATAATCTTTTCGATTTGACATTACATGGAATCTCATTCATTTCAGGTGAGTATAATTCCTTTTCTCCTTCAAGGAAAACTTCTTTTCCTTTGAAACAAGCATGATGCTTAACATCATCTATATAGAAATAATTTCTTTACAATACCGACAAAAGAACATATCTGTAATAAAACTTAATCCAATAGAATATGTACTAATAATGGAAAAATCATTAACAAATACGTAATGTTTTTAAGCTTATATAGTTCTTTAAATAAAAAAAAACTGAATATTGATTATCTAAGAATTCCGGATTCGGTACTACGTTATTCGAACGCGACAAAGACATTTTTTTACAAATAAAGGATGCGTTTCTCGCATGATGCGCATGATGTATCATTTATCCTTATCACTATACATTAAACAAGAATAAATGACGCATTATGCGCATCATGCAAGAAACGGAACGCATCCAAAATGACAATAATGACCGGTATATGTAATGTATATTAGTACCACACTTTAAAAAAATAATTTTGCTCGATATATTGGCGCTATTGACGTCCGACACGGCCAAACTTAGGATCGAGCTGTGTTTCGCAGTGTCGTTCTGTGTCTCTCTGTGTCATAGATGGAAAGCACCAGTAGTGTGTTACATGGTTGCCTGTGTATGTTGTTAGAAAGCACCCAATGAAAGTTTCGCCTCCTGCTAATAGCAACCAATTTAGTTAATAATTTATATGTTAATAATTTAATATATGACTAGAGAATTTATTTATTGCGACACAGGTTTATCACAATTTAAGCAAAGCAACGACTATTGCATAAAATACAAATTTATTCAAATCGATGACAATTGCATAAAATCAGTAAGTACAATACAACATTAGTTTAAAAAAATACTAAATATTTAATAAAACATATTTTTACAATAAAATGGTAACTATGAAAAATAATGAACTTTTATTCTCTGATTAATATACTCTGTTTTACAAAAAAAATAATTTTTTAATGAGAGCGATTTAAATTAATGCAATTATTCAAAATATTTTGTATTTTGAAAGAAATATTGATTAAATACATTATTATAGTTGGTATTGCAAAAAAAGTCTTTAAATTTACTTTTAAAGCAAAATTTATTAAACCATTTTTAGTAGTACTATATAAAATGTATTAAATTGAATATCTTCTTTTAAATAAATGTTGTAATTTATGAAATTATATAAAAATAATATTAAATAGAAAAGAGTAGGAGAGAGACTCCAAAAAAGTTTTCTTAAAATATAATCATTATTTCTTTTTCTAAGATTATTGTATTATTAATAAATAGTAAAATGGCGTTCCATAGAAGTGTCAATTTTCATATTTCGTACATAATTTGCTACAATTATCCACTAAAAAATGAAAAAACGTGTTAAAAACGTGTTTTTTTAAATCTAATCATTGGAATAAAAAAATAATTCGATAATTCGATAATTACCCCGTTCAACGGATACTGTAGAGAAACACGTTTGATCTCCTCGTTACTCATCGCGTTTAACAATTGTTTTCTAAACACGTTAAAGAAATACTAACAACTATTTTTCTAAACATGTTACAAGAAATGCATAAAATGTATAATAAACTATCGTAGATGCGATTGAACTTCCGATAAGTCACGCGTAACGAGCAGCGTACTCGCACCTTATTCCCAATAACGTCATTTTCGATATCGCTAATTGAAAACTTCCGGCGAACCCCTGATCTACCTTTCGTTTCTCGACAGACATCTCGCGGGTGACGAACGGAATAAGGAAAACTTTCTGAATCGACGAAATCGCGGAAATCAACGAAATACGAGATGCAAAAAGATGAGATCTTTCGTCGCGCGATTAAAAAGACACGCAATTCCCGACAAACGACAATCTCGCTCCCCCGAATCGACGTAATACCGCTACGAACAAAGATAATAGAACGCAAAGATAATAGAACGATAAAACAAAAAAAAAACGATGGAATAGAAAAAAATAAAAAAAAAACAATGAAATAAACGATAGACAAGTCCAATATCATCGTTGCGGTCGAACTTCCGGTAGCCACGCGGAAGAGACGTATCGCGAAATTGAAATCATCTAAATCTTTTTTTCGTTGAGAGTCACTCTTTTTTACATTCCTAATAGAATCCCTCCTGTTATCATCCCTCCTAGAATGTTTTTTCCTCGCGCGCGACTTTATCTCTCGCTACTCATACATTCCCGATAACATCACTCTTGGTAATTGAAAACTTTCGGCGAACTGCCTCTCGTTTCCGAAATATATAAACGAGCAAGGGAAAGGGAAAGCAAACTCCGCCTCTCGCGGTTAGATTCGCTGTAACAACGATGCGTATTAATGCCGATTCACATTTTTTTTTATTTTAGCATATTTCATACATATACTCATTTTTATTACGCAATATACTTATACATATACTTATACGTATTCTTATACATATACATATACATATACTTATACATATATTTATACATATACTTATACATATACTTATAAATATACTTATACATATACTTGTGCAAACTCGCATACTCTTTTACAATCTTATATGACTTTTCACGATAATTCGCACAAGCTTTTTGTATCGTGTCATAACAATTCATACATCGTGCGTACATAGATCTCTTGCGCGACATCCCTACTCGCTGTCGCACTCGACGCTTCTCGTTTCTTCGTGCACTCCGAGCACTCTCCTCAGATCGTCGGCGGCCCAATTTATCAACTGTCGCATCAATTCCTTCTTCCGATGCGGAGTTCAAAAATTGAATTCTTAATTTCGTGTATTTCTACCAGTTGCGTTTCTTCTTTTTGACTATATCCTTGACGTTGTACACGTACAGTCGAACCAACTCGCAATCGATCCCCTTCTCGCCTGGAGATCTCGCCTCGAACTATCATCCACTCTCCAACTTCGTCACGTACTGAACGAATCGGTCAGTCTCCTCCTTGTCTCCTGACAATGACGCGAACAACGCGTCGAGACCGCCACCATAAATCTCGTCATCGAGGTTCCTCTTCATCATATTCAGACGCGCCAGATATTCCTCGTATTCTCGTATCCACTTCGAGGAAGCCTTCTTCGCTATCTCGATCTCCGTAAACGAAGCGCATTCGTCCGGCATCGCGAAACTCTCGACGAAGCGAATCATGATCTCACCCAAACAGAACGGGTTCAATGAACCTTTCTGATTCTATCGCCGGTGACGATACGTATAGCGTTCCTCATACGCTCGGTCTCGCATATTCGCGCGATTGACTCCGTTCCTCGATGCGCCAGATGTCTAGACAGAAACGCCATCATCAGCCGCGAATTGCACGAAATCGCCGAATACGTAGATGTCCATATCGCGCGTATCAACTCGAGCGAATTGATCACATCGCCATCGACACTATTCCACTGATCCATCGTCCTCCTCCTCTTCCAGCTCGATTGTCGGACGTTTCTTCCGTTCCATCGTCATCGCTCGTTTCTTCTGTTCCACGACCTCGCGTTCCATCTCTCTCGAGAACTCGAACGGTTCGTCTAAGAGCGTTATTATTTCCGGATCCTTCAATTGACTCTCTGGAACTTTAGGCTGACTCTCCATCTCGAAGACTAACGATACGTCGTCGATATCTTTCGTCAAATATATATACCCTAAAGCAACGTCGAAGACC